TCAAAATTCTTTTTTTTCGTATGTTACATCATCATCAGAGATGTTTAATTTTATCATATTACAAATGATATCAATAAATCAAATCTAACTATATGTAGCACATTTAATTACAATGAACTGACTCCACGGAAAATTCCACAATGGATGTTCTCTCTATACAATATACGTATCACAACATACAGTTTTAACTGCATCACGCCTATAAGGAACAAGATTACCTTTAACACACGAAACTAGACACACGACTTTCCCTGCAAGAACCTCCAATAACTTTTTTTATTCGTAATTGATAACAAAGTGTATTCTCAAACAGAATGTCGAACCTCATATCTAATGACAAACCAGTAAATCCTTGACCACTAGACCAAAATATTTCCACAAACCCCTAGAAAATCTAAAAATGTCTTCTTTTAAATTCAAAACACCAAGTGGTTGACATTTACCTTTTAATTTCCATTTTTTTAAACCAGGTTTTAATGTCTAATCTTTTGCAAAAACACTTCATTGTGGCAGTTAACTATAAATGAAATTAACAATTTAACATAAAAAATTATGGGAAATTTGGTGGAATAACTCAAAAAAAAATTATAACTAAAAACATAACCACTTAACCTAAATCTAGTGTATACCCCCATTTTAGTTAGTTGTCTAATTATTATTATTTTTTTTGTTAGTGAGCAAATTAGCCCAAAAATTATTCATTCAAAAAACCTGTGACAAATGATATTAGTAGAAAAAATTGTAAGTTGTTTAGCAAAAAAAAAAAAAAAAGATTGTGCTTGATGTGTGTGTATTATAGATGGAATTGTAGTGCAGGTTTGGAGAGTTTGCTGCACCAACTTTTCTCCTACCAAACACTTCAAGCTGAATGATTCCTTATTCATTTCGATTCATTTTTCGACATTTTTATTTGAACGATCATGTCAGCATATCATACAAAGTGGATCGCGAAAACATACGTATACATACTACTACGGAAAACATCTTACATTTTAAAAACACACATGCACGTCTACTTAATACGAAAATCTCTAATCATGTATTTGTGGCATGTGGTGTCCCTTGTTTCGGTGTGCATCTATCCATATTTTTGGTTCAACTTATTCCAAAATCTCATTACACGTATTTTTTCTTGTGAACTACCGTAAACTCAATAAAAAAATGTATATATTGAAAAACATAGGTAATACTCTTATTTTTTTGTTATTTAATCCTAAAAACCGTGACATGTTAAAGTAAATAGGCTTCCAATAGATAGTGTTCTGTGCTTGGGGGTGTGTGGCCCTTAAACCATACGTATGAGTGCCAATGTTTAATACTATCCCGAAGGCTTTTACAAGTCTTCTTTGTTGAGAAGGCAGTGAGATTCAGGAGGAATTGTGCATCTCTTTTTCGGTGTATTTTCTTTTCTTACAATAATGAAACAGCTTCGCCAAGGTGTGAATGGAAATATTCATTCTGATGCACATGTACCAAAATGCTAAATTCAGGTGGTATCTATATACGTTGTAGGTACGTAGAAATGATGAAGTTAGAAGAAGCCATGCATTAGATGACAAAACAATGATCGTCACCTTGCGTGCATGGGAAAGGTTCCTTTAGTCCAACCACGTAATCCTTTTTTTTTGGCTTTCACATCTTTGTTGACCAAACTTACTATTATTATTCTACTTTTTGTTTACTTCAATTATTACTGAATTTCCCAATAATCACCTTGGTTTCCCCATTACCAACTCGTTTTAATATTCTCTATACACCCAATTTTATTTGTCAATTTGGGAATAGTTAATTTTGTCAGACCAATAAACTTCCATTAAGTTTTTCGTCTATATTAAAAGAACAAACTTCCATGAAAAAATGTAGTCATTTCCTGAAATAATGGTTCATACCAAAAAGTATGAGTTTGACTGTAATTTAAAAAGTATAACATGAATTTTGCAACTTTAGAACACATGTTTCATCACTTTAATGCTAAATGATTTCATCGTTTTAGAACTGACAGACAAGAGAATTGTACACGTATTTTTAATTCATATATTTTTTTATGTAAACTTATCACCACCGGACAATCAATTGGTAGTAATATAGCATTATAAACTATATTACTACCATTTTTTTATAGCATCAAAAAAAAAAAAAATTTCATCGATGAATTATTTACTTGTCGCAATGCTGTATACATTACTGAGGAACAGAGGAAGTGACTGTATAGTTAAGACACCCGACTAGTCATTATATTATTCCAATGAGAAACGATGGTGCAACATCTTCGCCAATTAATATCGATATACAGTATATGAAAAAGAAAAAAAAAATTGTGATGAGCATGTGAATGAACATATTTACTAATGCCCATACATACATCTACAACTTTATATATAGTACACAACTAAAAACATTATAATGCATATGCTTATATTGTAATACTTGTCCAAGATAAATTGAATTTCATTCACATATCTGACCGCTGACCAAATTAGTAATTAAAAGATCTGCATAAATAAATATAGCTTATCTAATCCATCTACGAAGAAGATTATTTTATATAAATTTAATTTACCAAACCCCCAGAAACAATGCATTACCACAAGGGAGACACTTCACGGATATTGTGCCCAATATGACCACATAAATCTCGGTAGTATTTTGCTCTTAGTTTATTATGTTTTGAACTGGTTGTGTTCCATATATGGAATAATTAAAAAAAAAGCTATGGAAAATTTTACCATTATTGTGAATGTGCATATTTATTTTTATTTGGATTTAGTGTCGATCGAGTAACCAGAATTGTTTCAAGACGTTTGATGCAGTGAGATATTTGGAAGTACATTATTATCTATTTAATTATTTAGATTTATGTTTTAATGAATATCTTTTAGAATATTCTAGAATGTTCCAGGGATTTCTAAGGTTGTTATGCTTTATTATAAATAGCCTTCTTAGGCTTCATATTGTATTCATTTATTGATGAATTATTAATCGAAAGATTTAAAGAGGTTTTGATAAACCACTGTGAAGAGTATTCACAACCCTAAAAGCTTTTGCGAAAGTCCTGAGAGCAGGACTCTCAAACCCTAATTTTCGGGTATTCTTAAAATCAACGGATCTAGTTCTATCCCTAGAAGCTTCCGGTCCATCAGTAGGTATCAGAGACAGTCCATTTGATTTCTCAATCGAAGACCGATTCTGGTGATCATAGTGAGTTCAAGCATCTACCCTATCCCAGGCGAAAGTCCTTTTGCTGAAAGAGAAGAGAACCATGAGATCTACATCGAGATTCATGGCGATCTTATCTTCGACATATATGAAGACCATGTTATGATTGTTGACTTCCTCTTCAAAGCTGGATCTTTTGAAGATCAGAGCCGTGAAAAATCCATTCGTGAAGAAGCGACATCAACTTCATGTGAAATCTAAGCAGGATCAAACATGTGCAGAATTCGTGTTTCGTGCAAAATTCGGGCGAAACACGGATCGTGCAAAAACCGGGCGATTGCAGATCTGCGAAAATTTCAGAGAATTACTTATCTGTACAGATTCGGTTCGTACAGATCCGGTTCGTGCAAGACTCGTGCAAAATCCAGTTTATGCAGAAACAACCAAACCGATGTGGAAAAACCGGATGAAGATTCGAGGATGAATCTTTCTAGGCCGGGTGGGAGCTGATGCAGCGCAGATACAAGATTCGTCCTCGAATCTTTTCTTGGCCTTATCTATTTAATTATTTAGATTTATGTTTTAATGAATATCTTTTAGAATATTCTAGAATATTGTATTCATTTATTGATAAATTATTAATCGAAAGATTTAAAGAGGTTTTGATAAACTACTGTGAAGAGTATTCACAACCCTAAGAGTTTTTGCGAAAGCCCTGAGAGGAGGACTCTCAAACCCTAGTTTCTAGGTATTTTCAGAATCAACGGATCTAATTCTATCCCTAAAATCTTCCGCTTCATCAACTTTCGACTAATTCTGGAAGTGAGTAAGCTCCCAATAAGTAATTTGTCGCAACTCTACCTAGAAACATCCAAACCGAATCTCAAGTGACCAGATGGTTTACAGACAAATTTTGTAATTTTTGAAACTTTTCCATTTACAGACAAAGTTTGCACAAAGTTGAATCGAATTTTGAACTAGCGAGTTTACGCCATTAGTCCTAGTTTCAATACCAATATGTGACCACAGTCAGATTAATGTGAAGTTAATTGATCATCATAATTTTGGTTTTTTTTTTTAAATCCGGCTGCGTATGTAAAAATTTATTTGCTAATTTCTCTTACGTAGAGAAGAAAGTGTTCTTTTAAACCAACAAATATATGTTGAAGTCTTGAAGATATACACAAGTGGCATAAATGTGTTAATTTGAAACCAATAGTCGTGTCGTGTCGTGCTTTTATCAACTATTTCGTTTCATCTGAATCACATTCATACGTGATGCACGAGTACTCATTTCAAATCATGCAAACAGTTGTTATTTTTCTGTTCGAACTTATTATTATTATTTTCGTTTTTTGAATTGAATTTCTGTTCGAACTTAAACAGCTTAAACATTGGAAAGAAAACTATAAAAACAACATTTTTTAACAAATGTGTAGTGGCATAGTGGTAAGGGTTATTTTTTAAATCAAAATATCTAAATGCTGACTCCGAATACCGAAGAGATTATGAGTTAAAGGTTCGGAACTCGCATGGTTTATCAATTAATGTTCATGATACGTAATGTGCTTGGTAGCAAACTAAACATATACCATATTTTAGCGTATCAAATGAAAAAGGCGACATAGATTTTGTCTAAGAAATTAGTTAATAAAAATACCAAAAACAAAACATTAGTCAAGCAAATTACACTAAAGAAAGCCAAGTGTTACGGTCGAAGAATTATCAACTATTATACTATTAAAATGTATCATCAATCTTCCACGAACTGTATATAAATACCAAGTCTTAACCTCAAGCTTTGGTAGTCTTAGAGAGAGATAAGACAACATAATCAGAGAGAGATGGGGAGGTCGCCTTGTTGCGATGAGAATGGTCTAAAGAAAGGGCCATGGACTCCTGAAGAAGATCAAAAGCTTATTGATTACATTCATAAACATGGCCATGGGAGCTGGAGAGCCCTCCCCAAGCTTGCAGGTTTTCTTTATTTTCATATTCTCAATTAACTCAGTTCATTGGTTTATAGAAAATTGTCTATATGGTTGGGTATGTATCTGTAGATTTATATAGTTTTAATGAAACTTGTGTGCGTTTTAAACAGATTTGAATCGGTGTGGAAAGAGTTGTAGACTGAGATGGACAAATTATCTGAGACCAGATATCAAAAGAGGCAAGTTTTCCGCGGAAGAAGAGCAAACAATCCTCAACCTCCATTCCATCCTCGGGAATAAGTAAGCGATTGCAACATAAATATGTTTTGATCAGTATAGAACTTTGAATGAAATTTTGTATAAATAATCGTTTATTTTTATCATACATAGATGGTCCGCTATAGCGACGCATTTGCAAGGACGTACAGATAATGAGATCAAGAACTTTTGGAACACACATCTAAAGAAGAAATTGATCCAAATGGGGATCGATCCTGTGACTCATCAACCAAGAACTGACCTCTTTGCAAGCTTACCTCAGCTCATAGCCTTAGCAAATCTAAAGGACCTCATTGAACAAACATCACAATTCTCATCCATCCAAGCCGAAGCTGCTCAATTAGCCAAGCTACAATATCTCCAATGCATGCTTAATTCTTCGGCTTCATTAACCAGCAACAACAATAGCCCGAGTAGCATTCTCGATATCGATCAGAACCATGCCATGAGCCTCTTAAACTCCATGGTCTCTTGGAACAAAGACCAAAACCCGGGTTTTGATCCGGCTCTTGAACTTGAAGCTAACGATCAAAATCAAGGTTTATTTTCACTTGGGTCCATCATTAACTCAACCACCCAACCACTCCAACAACAACAATTCCATTTAAACAATAGTCCTTGTGAGCTTCCATCAGAAAGTGACCCACTTCTTGATCATGTCCCTTTCAATCTCCAAACACCTTTGAATAGTGAAGATCACTTTATGGACCATTTGGTCAAACATCCAAATGAACATGATCAAGATCATGAAGATCCATCTTCATGGGCCCTCCCTTCTCTTATCGACCACAAACCTAACGATGTTCCTCCATCTCTTCCTCACAATATTCCGGCCGATGCAAGCAGCAGCTCCAGCTATGGCGGTGGAGACGGTGCGTCGCTTTATTGGCCTGACTTTTGCTTCGACGAAAGCATCATCAATGATATTTCTTAACTAGTCTTGGCTTAATGTTTTTTAAAATTCTGTAATTAGGGTTCTTACCATACGCACGTCTAGTCGACATACGTTTCCTCAAGCTTGAATTTCTTTTTTTTTTTTTTAAGGAAAATATTTTATTTGTTTTGTTCGTCATTTTAGAGTCTTGTAAGGTATAGTCCGTTTATACGTTCCTTTCTGCTTTGATTTTTATGTAATTAGACACGACATATGTATGTTGTTTTTCCTTTTATATATATAACGACACGACATATATGCTAGAATTATATGTTTACAAATTATCCAATATACATATACATAGTTTCCTTACATTAAAATTTGATTCGTCATTTTTTCTTCCATAATAGTTTTTTTTTTATCCTGGTTTTTTACCATCCGACTAATCCCTCAGGGTGAGTCTAGCCGTTGAGTAACCCACTCACCAGATTTTTTAATTGGCCTAAAGTGTGGCACCACTTCGACTGGCCAAATGAAAACGCCATAATAGTTGTGAAAGTAGTGAATTATTATTTCGTTATAATATATAAAGTATAATAAGTTGGTTTCTTATGTCAAGAATGTGATAATATACATATAAACCACCCAATGCACGACGACTAACTTATGAAGATTTTGTAAGTTTTCTAGAATAATAAGTAATCTACTCTACAACCACTCTGAAAGGGGCATCAAGTTTCCTGCGTGGGTAGTTAGACAATATTTCCTGCTTGTCTTTGAAGATTTTGACCTCTAATCATTCAAAATTAACTATGATTTAGTTTTTGGCAGCTAACTGTACGCAACACTTAAATTATTTTCTAAAGAGAAATATTATGAGCATGCCATAAATTTGTTAGACGTAACCTACACTTACGTTGTATTTGCACAAAAACAAAACTTACATTCCACAAAAATTGAAAATTAATTTTTATTTTTATCAAAATTACACTTTAGTTCCTGTATCCTTGTAAATAAATAATATCCGGTCTAACATAAACCAAGTAAGCAACTAAGAAAATATATAACTCGAATGTTTCATAATAAAGTATTAAATTGACTCGCATACACTCGGTGTGGACATAAATATATTTATAATTTATAATTTAAAACTAATTGTATATTTATCATTAATTTAAAATTATTGATTCTATGTATTTTTACTGGTTTGACTATGGTTTTTAATATATTAATTATTTATTCGTGTTACACTTCGATAATTTTTTTTGTTTTTATTGATTTAATATATATATTATTTGAATTTTTCTGAATAAATACAATTACTAGTTAAATATCAAATAAGGTCAATAATTTATCAAAAAACAATAGGAAAATGGGGATTGTCTATGTGTCTATGAAAAGGTTAAGCTAAGCAACTTTTTTCGCCTTTAGCATCATGTGGGGATTCCTTGGTGCCAAAAACCCTTGTTTCCTAGCCAGACATCACTACAGCACATGAAATGGTAGATCATTGTTTGGGAATATTTTTAACTTATTTGAATTGAAAGAGTCCTACAGAATAACGAGAAGAGATTGATTTTTATTGATAAACGAGTTTTGAGAAAAAATCGATCTGTATTACAAAGAATCAATATCAAAATCGTAAAAAAAGAGTTTCAATCGTTCGTGATTCGTCGTAAGCATTGCCACAATTCTTGTCGCTCGTTGTTGAGGAACGGCAAGAGTTTAACTATTTAGGATTTTGTGTGTAAATATTGTAATATGTCGTCCTTGTCTTGGGAGTTTTTTATTTATAGATCTTTATAAATAATAATCCTTGTTGGATTGGGCCTCGATTTCGATTGTCCATCCTAATTCTTTTAAAACTAAGACTAGAGGATGCCCCGGGTATATTGTTTATATTAGTTTGCATAAATAATTGCATCACGGTAGTGTTTATAATTTGATTCACATTAATTATAACTTAAAATTTTTTTCTCGGAAAGTATCTTTTGGAATTTGGAAGTTAAAATCATATATTCATGATTATAGGTTATCAATGATTA